AGTTTTGCCCATTGTTTTTCAGTCAGTTAATTATCTTCTTATTTCTGTTAACGAAATATTTGGTTTGTTCAAATTTATTTTCTTTTCCAAATAAATCTTGAGCATGCAATTTCATTTTCTTAATTGTGTAACAATTGCTAAAGGGAGTGCATTTTAGGTGCAAAGGAAGTACTCCATATAAAATAACTTAAACAAGTCCATGCATCCCAAACTCTATAAATTACGAATGCATTGTAAAGAAACTGTAATCCCCCATTCATTGTGTGCATCTAAATTTCAGATTATATTATAGCAAAGTCCTAATTGTCTGCCTCTTTGATGACTTTATTCCAACTACTCCCTCCATCCCGAAAACAACTTCACAGTTGGACTTTCACACACTTTTAGAAAATAAATTTAATTTTACTGTAGAGTGCACTGTTTGGCACTGTTTAAACACTGTTTGGCACTGTTTCAACACTGTTTGGCACTGTTTCAACACTGTTTGGCACTGTTTAAACACTGCTTGACACTGTTTATCACTTTTTTGGTGTAGATAATTTGCCAAATAAGGAAAGTATTGAAGTGTGAAGTTAATTTTGGGACATCCATTTAAGGAAATTGAGAAGTTGTTTTTGGGACGGAGGGAGTATAATGTAGTAAGATACAACGTAATACTTATTTTTATTTTAGTCTAGCTTCACATATGATTCAAAGGAAGAACTTCAATCTTAACCTTTTGCGTACCCCAATGACATCTTTTTACTTGACATTATGGTATGATATAATTAGAGATTTATGTTAGACAAAATATGGACAATATTTTCCCCATCATGTGTCATGCATTACACAAACTAGTATATTGTATAAAGACAAAGATATAAAATATCTTTTAGATCTACGTGATTCATAAAACCTATGCGTAAGTAAGATAATTAGAGAAATAATTATAGGTGGTTAAAAAAAACTCAAAATAAGACATGCCTTCATAAGTTAAAATAATACATGCAATTAATGAAAAAGAAAACTAAAAGGTTACCTCTGGGAATGTGTAGATGGTCTATGATTTTCATTTGTTAGGACTAGATTGTAAGAGTTTAAAACGTGTATTTTATGTTTAGAATATAAAATAGTTCATATCAACTAATTAAAACAAACGATGCAAAGCGATTATGTGCCTACACTTTGTACGGAAAGTGTTTTTTACATCATATTAAATACGCCCTATGAGATTTGTCAGAATTGAGATTTGAATAGTAAAACAGTATGGAGTACGTATTTTACTTCTACTCTCTCCGCTCCACTAGACTTTGTCAACTTTTCTTTTTTGTTTGTTCCAAAAAAATTTGTAACTTTCTTTTAAAAGTAATGAATTTGTGGCTCAGTTCATTTTCTCTCATTCGCACAAAACTCAACCACGCAGTTTTTACTATTTTAATTTAACACTCAACATTAATTTGGCAAAGTTGAGTGGGACGGAGCTAATATAAAATAATACGGAATACTCCGTAAAAAGTATGAAGTAAGAAATGATCTTTTTCTAAGACCAACGGCCATTCAGGTTATGAAAAAAATCTCAATTCAAAAGGTCATTTAAAAAATGTACAGAATTAAACTATGCCTTAGGGTATTTGCCTTATTAAGAGCAACTCCAATGCAAGAGTGTAGTCTCTTACACACCCTTACGCATGAGTCCCATTTTTTATCTCACAATTTTTATGTGTATTACCCACATATTTCCTACTTTATTTTCATTTTCATTTTTTCATATCACTTTTAACCAACTTTTCATCAACTTTTCCTCCTCGAATCCCGTGTAAGGTCCATATATGGACCTTGTCATAGACCTTGGTCAATTTTTACCTATATCTCTCTTCTCTTTTTTCTTTTTTCATACACACTATTTCATCTAAATGTTTATTCTCTCTATCTCTCATATGTCACATCAACTGCAATGCACCCTCCCATTAGAGATGCTCTAACCCGGCGGCAGAAAAATGGGCCCAAGCCCGCTGACTAGTCATAGTAGGATGAATGAAGTGTGGGAGGGATGCCCCGGCAGAAAAATGGGCCCAAGCCCGCTGACTAGTCATAGTAGGATGAATGAAGTGTGGGAAGGATGATGTGCGCAAGAGCACATGAAGTGAAAGATGTGTGGGGAAGATGTGCATGAGTGGTTAGACAATAAGGCGGAATACAACTTTGGTTGATTTAAATTTAGATGTTGGAAGAAATTTATTTTAGTATTATCTATTGTATTATTTACAGAGTACTGGTATTATTTATGATAATGCCTTATTTAAATTTTCAAACGGTGAAAATTATAATAAATTGTTGCAGATAATTTACTTTTACGGCATTAATTGAATTAAAAAATATGACTTGACTTTCATGACCAAAATTAGGAGTTTACTACTTTTATGGACTTGTTGTTTAGCTATTTATTTGATTATTTGATTAGTTAATGAATTTTGTCATATCATTAATTAAGCTTTAGAAAATTATTTATTACTTGTGCATGAGATTAGAAAATCAGTAAAGCCAATCACATTGAGAACTTTAATAAATCCAAGGTATACGATAAATTCTCGGAATCAATTTAATTTTTGTTATAAGGAATATATTCATTTGTTTAATATAATTAGTTTAATTAATTAAATAATGAATTTTAGCAATTTTGTTCGCTAAGACTTGCGATATTATTTCTATCTTGTCTATAAGATTAGAACATAATTTAGGTCAATCACTTTAAGCACATTAATGAAGCATAGAAATAAGAGAAATTAATGAAAATAATTGAATTCTTCTAATCAATAGGTAAAGGAATTACTAGTACAACCTTTACTTATAAATACTCATAGTTACTAGGTCTGGAAAAATATTCATAAATTATAGTTCAACTCATTGTTACTGGGCATTCTGTGCATATATAAAGTGCAGTATGTTTCAAGAAATTATTTGACTGCCTTCCCGGTCGAATTTTGAGCTGAAATATGGTATGGATAAACTAGATTTGATGAGAAACATGCTAAAAAAATTTCATCAAAAAACTTTACCGGGAAGGCCCCCAAAAGGGCTTCCGGTCAGGCCTTCCTGACTCGAACGGGACTCTTGACCGGAAGGCCTGTCAAAATAGGTGCTCGAACTTTTATAAAAAGGTCAAATAAGTCCTTATATAGGAGGCTCTGTCCGGCCATCGCGATTTGGGGCGGTTCCCAGTGGAATTTTTTGATGAACATTCCACCGGGAACTGCCCCAAATCGCGACGGCCGGACAGAGCCTCTTATATAAGGACTTAGTAGACCTTTTTATGAAAGTTCGAGAACCTATTTGACAGTTTTCCCTCTAAACTCTTTTCTTAAAAAAAAGATCGTAAGACTAATCTAAAAATTTCTAAAGCATAGAAGGTCTAATATCTTCAAAAAATTAAGTACACCAATTTTTAGACAAATAAGTTACAAAAATGTGTAGTTAGTTTTGAAAAAAACAACAGTAATTGATTAATAGATAAAAATAGGCATAGAACATTTTGTTTTGTTTAGGTAAAAATAGATTAATTTCAATTGGATGTAATTGAGCGTGATAAAAAAAATATGTCCATTGCTTTGGAAAATATAGACCATAAACATGTTTAGATATTTAGTTTAAAGATAAGACATGCTCAATAAATTAGAATATGTATTTTAAACCAATTTTATAATATACTAAATAAGAGATTTTCCTTTAATGAAACTAAACAATAAAATCATTTTATCCCGTGCACGGCACGGGTAAAGATACTAGTAGTAGTAGTCATAATAATAATAATAATAATAATAATAATAATATTAATAATAATAATATTAATAATAATAATAATAATAATAATAATAACAACAACATTGAAGGAGTGAAATATGTCTAAATAAAGACAAGCCCGTTTTTTGGGGAATCCAAACCCGTAATTACCTAAACAATAAAGAAACAAATATAAAATGTACAAATGTCCTTTTCGGTCTTTTTATCCATTAACCGCTAAAAGTAAATAGCTAAATTAACAAACATTTTTTAGAACCCGCTAACATTATCAGCTAACTGCTAACCGCTAATTGTCAAACAAGACCTTTATCTCTATCTTTTTGTTTTCCATTTTTCCTACGCATCACTACCATCTACCCTCCTATTAGAGATGCCTAAAACCAACCGCAATCCATGCTTTGCCCCGAGCCTCCAAGTGAAAAGACCCAAAAATTGGATATATTGAAAAAAAAAGGATGACACCCCATCCCTGAGGGCGGCTCCCCAACACCGATCGGACAGCACGATGACAGGATGTAAATTGGACTATAATCACAATCTGACAGATAGAGAGTGAGGCTCTGTCCCCGGTACTTACAGAAGCCCTATGCATTTTTCAGCATAGTAACTAACCCCTTATCGCAGTTGCCGGGATTCGAATCTGAGACCTAACCCTTGTGGCACTCCCTCGCTACCAGTTGAGCTACCATTTTTTTTTTTTGGATATACTCCCTCCGTCCCTTATAACTTTGCCAACTTTCCTTTTTTGGATGTCCCATTAACTTTGCCACTTTCCCATTTAAGTAAAGAATTTGTGGTTCCAGTTAATTCTCTCTCCTCTGCACAAACATCAACCACACAGTTTTTACTTTATTAATCTCTGTGACGGTCAAACTTAGCAAAATTATTAGGGACGGAGGGAGTATTGACTTATTGAGCCACTGGCAGGAAAAATGGAACGTAATTAAGGCTCTAGGGAGTAGGGACTGAAGCGTGCAGGAGCAGTCAGATGAAGTGATGGTGGCGTGTGAAAAATGGTTACCAAAGGCGCGTGGTGATCCTCGGAATGAATCAACGGGCAGGAAAGGAGTATCTCAATCCGATGGCTTAAACTTGTTCGGCACTGTTTCAACGGGAAAAATAACTGATAACGTTTGAAAGGTCTCTGTTCATTTCGAAAACTTTACTTTCAAGGTTTACTATTACATATTAACTCTTCTTTCTTACCATTTTTCACCCACTAGATTCCACTCTCTCTGAATCTTCTTTCTCTTTTATCTTCATATAAAAAGATATTATTTAGCATGAGTTCCCAAAGAAGGGGTGTCAATTGGAGTGTTAGCGAGGACATTGCTTTGTGTAAAGCTTGGGTTAAAATATCCGAAGCCGGTGCTATCGCATTCAGTCAAGGAGACAATTGTTTTTGGGGTCGGGTTCACGATACATTTTCTCAAAACTCCCAAACTGTTCTTCGAACTCGCGACGCGGTCGAATCACGCTTCAAAACTATCAACCGTCAATGTTGTCTTTGGAAGGAGTACATGAGGAAGGCAACCACAACTTCACCTCCAGGATTTAAAATGATGGATGTGGTTAGTTGAGTTGAATTTCAATTATAATATAATAACTACTCTCTCAATTTCAAAATCTTTGACACGCTTGAATTTCACAAAGATAGGTCAATTTTAAAGTACACTGTTTAACATTTTGCACTTTTTTGCAATATATTGATATAGATTTGTTTATCAAATAAAATTATGACATTCATTTTAAAACATTCAAAACAAGAAAAGTATGTCAAAGATTTTGAAACGGAGGGAGGGAGCACAATAACATGTTTATATCGGCATATATTAGGGAGTACTACACATTTTTTTTTGTAGGAATATCAAGCCAAAGTGTTATTTAGACATGATAATAATGACAAACCATTCAAATTCGATCACGCTTGGCATGTGCTACATACATGCCAGAAGTGGTACCATCAAAATGAACCACTCCCCGCTCTCACGGTGACTCCGCCTTCACACAACTCTATCACTTTGGACGTAGATAGTAGTAGTAATTCGCCATCGAATGACACTAGTGGATCAATTCAACATCCCGGAAGTCGTGACAAACAAAGGGTGGATAGAAAAGGGAAAGAAAAAATGCCGAGGATGGATCTGGTGATAAAAGAGCATTTTGATCAAATGATCAAACAAGGTGAAGAATCAGGAAAAAAGAGATATGAAAGATATGATGATCTTCACAGAAGAGCTATGGAGTCCGAGATTAGAAAGAACAATGTTGACATTGTCACTATGGACCTCTCTAAGTATTCACCGAGGAAGAAGAAATGGCTTGAGGAACAACAAAATGCAATCATGAATGATACTCAAGATCAATAAAGTGTCATGCATGCATTCCAGACTTAAGCAGGGTACTATCCCCACTATGCTAAGTAATAATTGTTGTATTTTTATTTGTGTAATGCAATTGAATTGTCTTTGGCTGTGACTATTATCCCCATTCCCCACTATCCTTATAGCCATGTATTTTGTTTTTAGTTCAAATTGTAGTGTAATTTCAAGGAATGTATATTGTTTTTAGTTCAAATTGTAGTGTAATTTCAAGGAATCGTAGAATTGGCAACATGATAAACATGTTTTTAATTGAGGGTGATGCATACCCACCTTGGGTTATTAATCGTAGAATTGTTTTTAATTTGTGTAATGCAATTGAATTGTTTTTTTGCTTATACAATTTTATGGCTTAAATTTTGTTATTCTTTACGATTTAGACTGCAAAGACTTTCTTTTCATGCTTCAAAGGCAAAAAGTAAGAAAGTGCTTAATGTACGGAGCAGCAGGTAGAAGACTCAACTATGAGAAGTTGCTTAATTTTTGTATTATTTGTGAAATTATTAGACATTTAGATACGTACTCCCTTTGGAGCACGAGAAATGGGACTAAGGGAGTGTTTGTTAATCCAGCTTAAAAAAAGTGATAGTAGGACAAAAGCTGAAAGCACCTTCAATCATGCTTTTATCTTAATGGTAAATAAATACAAGTTGGAGAGTAGTATTATTGGCAAACATTGAACAACTATCGTTGTTAGTTGGAAGAAAATAAACCCAAGGTGGGTATGATTAAAGAAAGGAAAGATATTTTTGTACTTCCAGAAAAATATAATTTCACAATTACTTTTTTACTTTAATCACTTCTATTCTATTATTAATTATTTTTTCAAAAATCACTTTCCAAAATCACTTTTTACAAAGTGAATCAATAGCAAACATAGTCTAAGAATTGGCCAAACCATATGGTTCGTGGCTTAGAGTGTGAGTTGGGAGAAATCAACACATCAAAGTTAACAAATGATGGTATACGAAGGAGCTTCATCTCTTAGAGTATGTATGTCATAAGTGCCCAATGCTTCTCTCTCAAATTTCTTTAGGCCTCGATTCGTATACCATGTTGTCTATAGGGGCGGAGCCAGTGCCGACTGAGGCAGTACATGTTGAAGATGGAGTCTTGTTCTGAATTTTAAAGCAGTTACCCGACCGGGTATATTAGGTCACCCTACCGGGTATGTTGAAGCAGAGACCTGAGAACTCACTGGAACGTGAGACCCGACCGGGTCAGGAGACGGACTCGACCGGGTCAGCGAAGTTTTCAGTTTCTGTTTTGGATACCCGCCCTGGTATCCAACCCGGGCATGAATTTTGTGAAGAGACCCGACCGGGTCAAGGGGGGCACCCGACCGGGTCTACGGGAAATTTTAATTACGGGCTTAATTTTAATCAGGGCCTGCGGATCTAATCTCAGTTTAGGTTTTCTTAAACCTATTTAAACGACTCTTATGTACTTGTAAACCTCTTGGGACGCTGATAATAATACACCCTCTCTCTCGTTCGCCGTGGACTAGCACAATCAAACCGATTGTGTGAACCACGTAAATTCTTGTGTTCTTGCTCTTAATTTATCGTTTATCTTTGCCTAATCGTAACAATTGGTATCAGAGCTATGGCTGACGAAGGGAAGGTTAAGATCGATAAATTTGATGGTCAAGATTTCGCTTTCTGGAAGATGCAGATCGAGGATTATCTCTACCAGAAAAAGCTTCATCTACCCTTGTCTGAGAACAAACCAGAGACGATGGCGGAGGCGGAGTGGAACTTGTTGGACCGACAGGCTCTTGGTGTGGTGAGGTTGTCGTTGGCGAAAAACGTTGCTTACAACATCGTCAACGAGAAGACAACGTTTGGACTGCTCAAGGCGTTATCCAACATGTATGAGAAACCCTCAGCGGCCAACAAGGTTTTCTTAATCAGACAGTTGGTGAACACAAGGATGAAGGAAGGTGCATCCGTGACAGATCACATCAACGAGTTTAATTCAATCATATCCAGGTTAGGCTCGATTGAGATTAAATTCGATGATGAAGTTCAAGCGTTACTTTTGTTATCATCTTTGCCTCATAGTTGGTCCGGTACAGTCACAACGGTTAGTAGTTCATCTGGAACCACTAAGCTTACCTTTGAAGGTATTCGTGACTTAATCCTTGGTGAGGACATCTGGAGAAGAAGTTCGAGGGATAGCTCCAACAGTTTGTTGAGTACTGAAGATAGGGGCAGAAAATCCACTAGAGTGGGTAACAAGAAGGGAAGATCAAAGTCGAGGAAGAGAGGTCAATCCAAGAACAGGAAGGACATCAATTGTTGGAATTGCAAGGAGAACGGACACTTCAGAAATCAGTACCCAAAAGCCTCTGCAGACAAAGGCAAGAAGGAGGTGAACGTGGCAGAGGACTATGAAGATGTTCTAATTTGCAGCGTTGAGAATTCAATTGAGTCCTGGATCATGGATTCAGGTGCGACGTTTCATGCTTGTCATTGCAGGGATTTGATGAAAAATTTCAGGCCCTACAATGGAAGAGTTCGTTTGGCGGATGACAAATCCCTGGAGATCACGGGTATTGGGGATGTTGATCTCAGTACCACTTTGGGTACAACCTGGAGGTTGAAAGATGTGAGGTATATTCCAGACCTGAAGAAGATGTTGATCTCAGTGGGACAGCTTGATGAGGAAGGCCATAACGTTAGTTTTGGCAACAAGCAATGGAAGGTGACAAAGGGAAAGCTGGTCATTGCTCGTGGACAGAAGCATGGTACACTGTACATGGTTGAAGTGTCCACAGATGGAGCAAATGCAGCAGTTGAAGATACAGGGGTCTCTACTTTGTGGCACCAAAGACTTGGGCACATAAGTGAGAACGGAATGAAGATGCTGTCTTCAAAGGGCAAAATCCCAGATTTGAAGAATTCAAAGTTGAGCTTTTGTGAGCCATGTGTTCTAGGCAAGCAAAAGAGGGTAACCTTTGTGAAGACAGGACAACAACCCAAGACTGAGCGGCTGGAGTTGATTCATTCAGATGTCTACGGACCCACAAAGGTCTCTTCGATTGGAGGTTCCCGGTACTATGTTACATTCATTGATGACTCTACACGGAAGGTATGGGTTTATTTTCTTAAGAATAAATCTGATGCCTTTAACACTTTTAAGAAGTTCAAGGCTGCAGTTGAGAATGAAACAAATCTCAAGATTAAGTGTTTAAAGAGTGATAATGGGGGTGAGTATAGTAGCACAGAGTTTGTAGAGTATTGTGCTGAACAGGGGATCAAAATGCTGAAGACGGTTCCAGAAACACCACAGCAAAATGGTGTTGCAGAGAGGATGAACAGAACACTGAATGAGAGGGCCAGGAGCATGAGATTGCATGCAGGACTTCCAAAGATGTTCTGGGCCGATGCAGTGAACACAGCAGCATACTTGATCAACAGAGGACCCTCATCTCCCATAGGTTCCAAAATTCCAGAAGAGAAATGGAAAGGTCGAGAGGTATCTCTTACTCACTTGAAAGTTTTTGGTTGTATTTCTTATGTCAAAGTTAGAGATGCAGATAGTGACAAGCTCGAAGCAAAGGCAAAGAAGTGTATCTTTATTGGGTACGGGATGGATGACATGGGCTACAGGTTCTGGGACAACCACAGCAAGAAGGTTATCAGAAGTAGAGATGTCACTTTCAACGAGAATGCCCTATATAAAGATGGTCTTGCAGCAGATACGAGCAAAGGCAAACAACCAGAAACCAAACAGCAAGTGGTGTTTGATGGGATGACTGAAGATGACATAACACAACCTGCTGGTTGTGATGAGATGACTGGAGGCTCAGGGAGCAGTGGGAGCTCAGGAGATACAGGAATGTCTGAAGATAGTGGGAGTGATGAAGATGGTGGGTGATAAGTCCATTTTTGTACTTATTTTTCTTATCAAATTTAAGCGATTTTTGAATGAAAATAGAAAGAAAAGACACATTTTATATATTTTGGTTCAAGTTTCATGAAATCAGGTAAAAATCACATCCATAATATGTTTAGCGGGATTTCGGGTCAATTGAGCACAAAATGAGTCAATTTGAGTGACAAATGCATTTATACCGGAAGAAGCAAGCATTTTATCAAGGTGATTCAGAAGACAAAGTTGAAGAGCAAGAAAAGCCGCATCTGCCAGACAAAAGTGGCCGAAGGCGCCCAAATAGGCGCCCAAAATGGAGGCCTTCGCGGCCGCCTACGGGAAAATTCAGAAGTCAACCTCGCTTTGACTCGGGACCAGGAAAAGACCGAAGGCTGCCGACACTGGACAGAAGGCGGCCGCCTACGGTGGCCGCCTGCGGCACAAGGGGACGAAACCAACCACCGATCGGCCAGACAAGACGGCAGACGGCCAGATAGGACGGCAGGCGGCCGCCTGCTGGACCGCCTGCGGCGGCCGGGGTCCGCCGGGATCCGTCGGGATCCGATCTGCCAACGAAAAGATGGCAGGCGGCCATTTTTGACAGAAGGCGGCCGCCCTCTGTGGCCGCCTACGGCTGACGGGACCGCCACCGACGGTCTGCCGGCGACAGGACGGCAGGCGGCCAGAGGCTGCCGGAAGGCGGCCGCCTGCCCGGGCGCCTACGGGAATTTTTCGGCTATAAAATCCATGCTTTTTCCTCAACTCAAATACACCAATTTCAAGCCCAAATCAGATCAAAAAGGGCGTCTTCTTCCTCCTCAAAGCTCGGATTTCCACCATTGTTGCACCTTCAACTTCAATCTTTCATATCTTTCTCATTTTAGCTCCAAATTGTGAGTTCTTTATATGTATTTTCATCCTTTAAATGAGTAGAATCTGAATCTGTACTTAGTTTTTTCTATCTGTGCTTCGAAAATTTCCAGAAAATTATTCCACTATTTCGCATTTTTTTCTTAAATTTGCATAAAATAGTTGTTGACATTAAATCCATTCCAATTAATTATATAGTTGCTTACTAGCCTCAAGGTAGTTATTTATCAAAACAAAGTTAATTTTTACGAAGTAGAAGTAAATTTTAATTAATTCCGACATTTAGTTGTTATTATTGCATAAATTATATTAAATACTCAAAAAAGGCAAAAAATTAGTTTCTGTCCTAATTACAGTTTAATTCACAGTAATATCACTCCTAGTAGTCATTATAAAATTTAGAACGAATTTAGAATATTTGTAGTTGCTTTTTTTGTATTTTCTAGTTAATATTGGGAAAATTATCAATTAGTTGTTAAAATTGGATTTTAGGTTATAAAATTCGGGAAAAATTCCAGAAGGTGATATTTTAGTTCTACAAGTTTATTTTGGCAGAATATTATTTTTGTTCAATTTTCTCTATTATACATGCTTAATTCCTTGTTAATGTTGAATTTATTCATTGTATTGTTAAATGAAAAATGATGTTTATTAGCTAAATTTGTTTTGGGCATGAATTGACTAAAGGAATATGGATTGACTTGTTGACCGAAAATTAGGGATTAAAATTAATAATTTGGACTAGTTGTTTGAAATGATGAAATAGTAATTAATAACTGTTAGCCATATTCATTAATTAAATTCTTGGAAAATTATCTCTAACTTGTCTATGAGATTAGAAAATAATTTAAGCCAACCATATTCGAGCACATTAATAAGGCCTAGAAATAGGATAATTTAATGAAAGAGATTTACATCTTGTCTATGAGAGATAAATTCAATTGCTTAAATAATGAGTTTAACTAGTTAATGAATTTGGCTATTTTTATTAATTAAAATATTGGAGAATTATTTCTACCTTGTCTATGAGGTTAGAATTTAATTCAAGCCAACCATTTTGAACACATTAATGACACCTAGAAATAGGATAAATTAATGAAAATAATTTCTATTCTTGTCTATGAGGAAAGAAATTATTAGTCCAATTTTAGTTTTAATTTCCCCAATTACTAGGTCCAAGAATATATCCATTTCTAATTACTCAATTCATTGCCCTTATTTGCATCAATCCATTTAAGTTTAATATTATATTTTTTCCTTTAGTTTATTTTTGAGCCATCATTAGTATTTGCACAATTTAATTTACTTTATTTTCCAAAAAGTAGTTTAGAAAATCAATCAAAAGTTTTAATTTGGAAAGCTTCCAATAATTTGCGATAACCTGTGACTGGACTTAAAATCAAGAAGCTCCTCCGCCATTCCTCGAGAGACACGATACTCGGGGAAAAACCGAAAGGTTAGACTCCGTTTTACTACAACGCCGCGAAAGCGGTTATCAGTGGGAGTTCAGAGGCAACTACTCCACACATTAGACAGTCCACTAGAATCAGAAGACCTCCTAACAGATATTCTCCTTCAGCAAATTACCTGTTGCTGACCGAGAATGGAGAGCCAGAATCTTATTTAGAGGCGCTGACCATGAAAGATTCCATACAGTGGAAGAAGGCCATGGAGGATGAGTTAGATTCACTTGACAAGAACCAAACTTGGTCCTTAGTCAAGCTACCACCGGGAAAGAAAGCTTTGGAGAACAAGTTGGTGTTCAGAATCAAAGATGAAGCGGATGGAAGCAAGAGATACAAGGCGAGGTTAGTTGTCAAAGGGTTCCAACAGAAGAAGGGAGTTCATTACAATGAAATCTTCTCTCCGGTTGTGAAGATGACTACTATCAGGTTGATCCTTGGTATCGTTGCTGCTGAAAATTTGCAATTGGAGCAGCTGGATGTAAAGACTGCTTTTGTTCATGGCAACCTTGAAGAAGACATTTACATGGCTCAACCAGTAGGTTTCCCAGTGAGTGGTAAGGAGAAGTTGGTGTGCAAACTCAAGAAGAGTCTATACGGACTGAAGCAAGCTCCTAGACAGTGGTACTTGAAGTTTGACAGTTTTATGCAGCGGAATGGGTACACTAGATGCAAGATGGACCACTGCTGTTACTTGAAGAAATTCGAGTCATCATACATTATTCTTCTTTTGTATGTTGATGACATGTTGGTGGCTGGAGCAAACATGCAGGAGATCAACAAGCTCAAGAAGAAGTTGTCCGAAGAATTTGAGATGAAGGATTTAGGGGAGGCGAGACAGATTCTTGGGATGAGCATAGTCAGAGACAAGGTGGAAGGTACTTTAAAGCTTTCACAGCAAAAGTACATTCAGAAGGTCCTTGAGAAGTTCAGAATGACGGATGCCAAGCCAAGGAGTACACCGTTAGGGAGTCAGTTGAAACTTTCCAAGCAGCAGTCTCCAAAGACCAATGAAGACAAAGAAGAAATGGCTAAAGTTCCTTATGCATCAGCCGTTGGCAGCTTGATGTATGCGATGGTGTCAACAAGGCCAGACATTGCTCATGCAGTGGGAGTTGTTAGCAGGTTCATGTCAAATCCAGGGAAGGAACATTGGGAAGGAGTTAAGTGGCTGTTACGCTACTTGAAAGGTACTTCTGAAACTGCCCTATGTTTCAGGAAGAATGGCGTAATTCTAGAAGGATTTGCCGATGCTGATTTGGGGGGATGTCATGATTCCGGGAAGAGCACTACGGGTTACATATTCACTATTGGAGGTACGACAATCAGTTGGATGTCTAGACTACAGAAGAGCGTAGCTCTTTCAACCACAGAAGCAGAATATATGGCCATTGCTGAAGCGGCCAAAGAGTTGATCTGGTTGAAGAACTTTCTTTCAGAGTTGGGCATGAAGCAGGGAGATTGCGGTCTATATTGTGACAACCAGAGTGCTATTCATCTCGCAAAGAATCCGGTGTTTCACAGCAGAACGAAACACATCAAGATGCGGTATCATTTCATTCGAGAATTGATTGAAGATGGTACAATAAGTTTGAAGAAGATCCTTGGTACGAAGAATCCAGCAGACATGCTTACCAAGGCGGTGACAACAGAAAAGTTGAAGCTATGCATGGCTTCAACAGGCCTTCCAGATACTTGATGAGAAAGCGCGGACGAGAGAGAGAGAGATCAGGGGTTTTACAGAAGATACATGTTCTTGGATGGCAGATGATTGTTGACCAAGCCTCCAAGTGGGAGATTGTTGAAGATGGAGTCTTGTTCTGAATTTTAAAGCAGTTACCCGACCGGGTATATTAGGTCACCCTACCGGGTATGTTGAAGCAGAGACCTGGGAACTCACTGGAACGTGAGACCCGACCGGGTCTGGAGACGGACCCGACCGGGTCAGCGAAGTTTTCAGTTTCTGTTTTGGATACCCGCCCTGGTATCCAACCCGGGCATGAATTTTGTGAAGAGACCCGACCGGGTCAAGGGGGGCACCCGACCAGGTCTACGGGAAATTTTAATTACGGGCTTAATTTTAATCAGGGTCTGCGGATCTAATCTCAGTTTAGGTTTTCTTAAACCTATTTAAACGACTCTTATGTACTTGTAAACCTCTTGAGACGCTGATAATAATACATCCTCTCTCTCGTTCGCCGTGGACTAGCACAATCAAACCGATTGTGTGAACCACGTAAATTCTTGTGTTCTTGCTCTTAATTTATCGTTTATCTTTGCCTAGTCGTAACAGTACAAAGAATATTTTTAGAAATTCTTTACATGGAATTTTTACACTAAAAATTTAGACATTTTTTAAATTTGGGTTGGGTCGGGACCAGGGTTGGCCCCTCCCTAGCCGCGTCCCTACATATTGACCAAAAACCTTTTTTACGTTTCCTCTTTCTCAGAACCTTTTAACTTCTGTTGTTTGAATCCTTGTCACAAACTCCCAATTTATCATACAATTCGGTTTAGTAAGATCATCAATATCTTGCACTTTACTCCCATTGAAAAGGTATTCAAGTATGACATTCATCTCTGATATATCGAGTTTTATGATCACGAAGACGAGCAATTTTGTAATATCCTTTGTAGCTTTTAAGGCTTTCTTTGAGTTCTCTTTTAGCCTCCTTACTTCTCTATTCTCATCCTACAACTTTTCCCCAACTTTTTGTAGCATTTCCTTATAGTCCTTATTGCATGTTTTACCTCATCACTCCACCAAGATGCGCTCATTTGTGTGACAGACTGCGGACATTCTTTAGATTCTCCAAGTATCTCTTTCGCCATTTTTTATATCGTAATTCTTAAATGAATCAAATCAATATAATAATTATATATAAATATTTCAACTAATAATATTATTCAAATTTCTGACTAAAAAATCCTACATGAACCGTAACTATATGCAGAAAGTACATTTTATGTTACTCTTGTCCATGTCGTTACCATATGATAATTTTACCAGATGAAATTTTGATCGCTGTATATAATTTTTTGATAAATAATTTGAAGGATTTTATGCATTGATACAGAATTAATTCCACTTTAGATCCTCTGAGTTTTGTGTCATTTCCATATTTAGACTCCATCTTTCACTTTATCCATTTTTGGTACCTATCTATTGTTTTCTTGACCATTTTCGGTCCATCTCCGGGCACTTTACTACCGGAAAATGACTATATATTGTCAAGAAAACAATAGTCAGAGACCAAAAATGGACAAAGTGAAAGACGAGCACTAATTGTGAAATTGGTGCAATACTCGAAGGACCAAAAGTGGAATTTCTTCCATTGATACATGTAAGTATAGTTACAGTTTTGATTTATTTATTTTCAAAAGGTTTTATTACACCATTTATTTTAAAAGTTTTTTTTTTAATGGAAAAAAAAAACTTTTAGGCATTAGGCATAAGAGTAATAGTCGGTATATGCATTTTATCCTTTTTCTGTCCTAAAAACAGTATCCATTAGGCATAAGCTGCCATCTGATCTCTCCGTATAAAAATTCAACATTCCATTTCATTTTCTCCGAGTAAACACCCAATTTGACTTCTTTTTCTGCAACCCAACCCTCTCCATCATCCATAAATCGAAAGCAATGGCCAATTCGTCGCCGGCGGTTCTCCCGCTTTCCACCGCGCCACCCGCCACCGCCTCTGAACCCGCAATTGCGCCCACCTCTGCTTTCCGTGCCTTCTTGAACAACATTTCCGAAACCGTTCGCAAAGGGCTATCGACCCGCCGCCCGTGGGCGGAGCTCGTGGATCGCTCCGCCTTGTCGAAGCCGGACTCCTTCTCGGACGCGACTCTCCGCATCCGCAAGAACTACGCGTATTTCAGGACCAATTACCTCGCCCTCATCGCCGCCGTCCTCGGAATATCTCTCGTCACCCACCCGCTCTCCCTCGTCTTCCTCGCCGCCCTGCTCGCGGCCTGGCTCTTCCTGTACCTCTTCCGCCCCTCCGATCAGCCTCTGGTCCTCTTCGGCCGCCAATTCTCCGACAGGGAAACCCTGGGAGGCCTGATCCTCTCCACCGTCGTCGTGATTTTCCTCACCAGCGTCGGGTCGGTTCTCGTCTCCGCCCTGATGGTGGGCGTCGCAATTGTCTGCATCCACGCCGCTTTCCGTGACCCGGAAGATCTGTTTCTCGACGAGCAAGATGCTCCGGCCGTCGGGTTCCTTTCTTTCTTGACCGCCGGCGCCCCGTCAAATGGGTCAGCTCCCGGCGTTGCACCTCGGATTTGAGCGGCTCTTCCGTGAACCGGAAATTGCGACGCCGGCATCTGTTTGCGGCGATTCCTTTCATCAAATTCATGTAAAAATTACAGCTTCATCAGGTGGACAATTACTAATTGCTGTAGAGTAGACCAATTTTAATTCATTATTATAGACTTATAGTTGTACAGGCTTATGTATACTGCAAATTATACTTTGCATTCGGATGGATTCTTACGTGCAGAATTTTTTGTATTTTTTTGTTTATAATTGCTCATTGCGAGTTTGCAAATTGCAACTAAAGATTTTTTACTTATGGATGTTGATGTGTTATTTGTTTGATTTTTGTGTTCTAAGTTCAAACTAAAGCTCATTTAACTCATACTCTCTCCGATCTTAAGTTTTCTTGCTAACAAATGATAAGGTAATGGTAAGGTGATTAGATAGTGAGCATGGTTTTAAGTTGCGGTCGCGGTTGCGGCCACTGCGCTTGCGGCCAATGCGGCCGTTGCGATGCGGATTGTGGCCACTGTGGCGTGAAATATTTTCATTTCCCACATAATAGCATTAAAATGATTTTTTTTGCTTTCTTTAACAAATCTTATATTAACATATAGCATGTACTACCTCCGTCCCATAATGAAGTTCTCATTCACTATTTTTTAGTCAATTCAAATCACTTTTGAATATTTATTGTAGTTTCTGAATATGTAAATATTCTTACCTAAAAATAATTTGAGTGTTGACATGAATCAATTTGCTTTATCGTCATCGTAAATAGCGATGGAATCTTCTTTATGAGGCGGAGGGAATATTTAACATACATTAATTATGTATGAATAATTCTGCAAACACTAATATGTAAACAACAAAGTAACCAATAAGAATATGAAGATTTAAAATAATTGATTATTATTATTTTTTAAATCGAATAATGATTACTGTTTAAATACTAAAAATAGTTTAATATTTTAAAGCTAGTATACATATACCAGTATATACGGAGTACTTCGTATAGAAAAATGGGAAAACTGTCAAATAGGTACTCAAACTTTCAAAAAAAAGTCAATTAAGTCCTTCTATAGGAGACTCTGTCCGGTCGTCGCGATTTGGGGCGGTTCCCGGTGGATTTTTTTGATGAAATTTTTTGAACATCTTATTCATCAAGTCTAGTTTACTCATACCAAATTTCAGCTAAAAATTTAATCGGGAGCACATCCAAATTAATTCGAGAACGCAAAAATGCGCAGTTATCTTCAAGAATTAATTTGAATGTGTTCCCGATTGAATTTTTAGCTGAAATTTGGTATGAGTAAACTAGACTTGGTGAATAAGATGCTCAAAAAATTTCATCAAAAAATTCCACCGGGAACTGCCCCAAATCGCGACGGCCGGGCAGAACCTCCTATAGAAGGACTTAATTGACCTTTTTATGAAAGTTCGAGAACCTATTTGATAGCCCGTAGAAAAAAATTAGGTCCACCCTAAAAAATAAAAAATTTAAAGTTTATAGCATCTACTTCATCCTCAAATATATCCTCAACTACAATCTCTCAAGCCCAACTAAAACAATTTAATGGCTCAATAACCCAAAATGCCCTAAAGTCCTGATGCAAGGTTCGTATACAGTACTACGTGGATAGCAAAAATTCTGGCATCTACCATACGGATCTACTCATAACGACGCATCTTCCATTTCTTCTTCAGGGAGCTTCACTACCAAGCTTAATTAGTCTAATTATCTAAGATATCTAAGCCCAGAGAATAACCACGCCACTGATGCGGGCAGATGCGGTTGATTGCGGCGGGATGCGGTTGATTGCGGCCGGTTGCAGTGCCTGTTGCGGTTCCATCGCCGTTTGGTAGCGGTTTTCTTGGTGATTCCATTTCACAGCGCTATAGCGGGGTGATGCGGTTGCGCCGCCCGCCGTTACCGCAATATTGCGGCCGCTATTTGTGATGCGGACTGCAATTTGAAACACAAATAGTGAGTATTGTGGAGTAGAGAATTGTATATAAGAGGGAGAAACATACAATAATGTGAAAAAATTACTGTCCATCACAAATTCTTTTTCAAAAAAGAAAGTGAATGTTTATTTTGGAATGCCCCGAAAAGAACTTAGGTGCTCCTATTGCTAATGAATGTTCAATTGTTCATACAAAGTATTTGAATGTATAACTCATCTGTTTAATTTGTATTCCCTCCGTCCTATAAACTAGTTTACGCATTAACTTAGATCAGAGTTTAAGAAAGTGGTAATAAAGTAGAAATGTATGATTATAGTTGAGTCATACAAAACTTTTTAACAATGGAAATGAAAACGATTTTTTGGGACGACCCAAAAATAGAAACCGGGAACTATTTTGTGGGACGTAGGGAGTATATTGGTGCTCCTATTGCTAATGAGTCTGATATAGGGGGTGTTTGGATCTGATTCTTAAAACTGCTCCTGCTCCTTCAGTAAGTAGAAGCAGAAGTTCGAGTGTTTGAGTGAAAGTGTAGAAGTAATTCTGGTGCTCTAATTTACTCCTAGAATGACTTTGTTTAGAATCCGGAGGAGACCAGTTTCTGAAAACTGATTCTGATTCTGCTTTTGCTTTAAAAAAGAAGCAGAAGCAGAATCAGTTCCAAACACACTCACAATAAGTTATTATCATCTTAAGAAAAATCTATCATCAGGGAAATTCTATACTACGTTAGTTACTACGTAATATTTAAAAACTAATCAAAGATTATAAATGAAATAAAAGTTTCACCATTCTATTTTTTTTGAAAAGTAAACAATCAACTTTCATTCATAGAATCAGAGTTGAGTACATGGATAATAAAAGGAGGTAAATCATCCCAATAAATACAGTCCGACATAGAACTAGCGGCTTTAGCGAACTCGTGAGCCGCCCTATTCGTTGACCGTCTAATGTGAGAAAAAGAGATGTCGGTAAAGCCCAAAGTAATCTCTCGAATATCACCGCCAATGATCCCTGCTAAAGAAACACTCGACTCCCGTAGAACCTTCGCCACTGCCCCTGAGGAGTCTGACTCCACCTCAATACAATCCTAGCCTCTTCCCTTCACCAAGCTCAAGGCCTCTTTAATGCCATTTAGCTTAGCTTCCAATGGAGACAAAACTCCATACCAAACCTTCGCCACACGGCCCACTCCTGCAACAAAATCCCATGCATCATTTCGTAATACCCATCCCATGCCACAAATCTTTTCTCTCACGGCCGCATCCACGTTCAACTTGTATCTTCCCGGAAAATGTTTTCTCCAAACTGAATGTACAACCCTTCCAATATTGCTTTCACCACCCGCTGGTTTCTGTGCTAGTCTCCTGCCATCCACAAACATCCTAGTCTTCACAAGGATCTGTTTGGGATCTGAATTAGCCACATTCAAGGTCCTACTATTACGTTCGCATGCACCATAACCCCCAACACCCCCATACCAACCTGCACCAATTTTCCTCTTTCCTAGTTTGAAACTTTGCCCGAATCTGCTCTAAGAAGGAATGTGAAGGAGAAACCAATAAGCTCTAAAGGATCGAGTCCCAGGCCTCCTTATCTACCGGGCACGCCACAAAAAGATGTTGCAACGTCTCCTCCTCTTTTCCACACAAACCGCACTTGGCCGCACAATTCACCATCCTGATTTTCAGATTGATTTTCGTAGGAAGCTGATCACAAAATACCTGCCACTGCCAGAAAAAGAATTTCACCTTAGGAGGAAGCATCCAACGCCAAATCTGGGTCCAGCCACTCCACCAATCATTCTCAAACTCCTCAACCAATGCTCTATAACATATCCAAACCGAGAACTTACCAGGTTTCTCCCATCGCCAGCATAGCCGGTCGGAAACCAATCTATGGCTAATCAGAATTCCACTGATGAGGTCAATATCCCGCTGCACAAATAACTCTCGCAGAAGGTAAGCATCCCATTCACTTCTTTCATTACACAACAGATTACAGACTCGAGCCTACTCCAATCCTAAAAATGGAATTGAAATCACCTTAGGCTAACTTTTATCCGGTAACCAGGGTTCGGTCCAAATACTAATAGCCTTTCCATCTCCCACACTCCACTGGTAGCCTTCTTTAAATAATATTCTGAGTCCGAAAAATACTCTGCCAAATGAAAGAAGGATTATTATCCCATTTAGTAGTCAAAAAATTCCCATCCCTAAAATACCGGACCTTAAACACCCTTCCCACAAGAGACTCTGGTTCCGAGAAAATTCTCCACGTTTACTTAGCCAGCATGGCCAAATTAAACTCTCTGAGTTTTTTAAACCCAAACCACCCACATTTTTGTCCGACACAAAAAATCCCAATTTTTCCATCTAATTCCTTTTCCGGATATCCCTTGCCACCAATACCCATTCATAAGTGTTTGGATCTCCTTACACAATTCTTTCGGCAAAAGAAACACATTCATCGCATACGTGGGCATGGCTTGAATGACAGATTTAAGAAGTACTTCCCGCCCAGCCTTAGATAAAAAACGATTATTCCAGGTTTGGATTCGAGCAATCATTCTCTGCCGAAGGTTGGATAAAGTTATTTTCTTGTTTCGACCCATTAAGGCCGATAGCCCCAAGTACCGCTCCTCACTTCCAGCTAACCCCTCCCCTAATAAATCCTTTAAACCTTCCTTACAATCAGATGATACACTGGAAGTGAAAAACAGTTTTGATTTATTCCAATTGATTACATGCATGCCCCGAAGCCAGAGAATAATCATTCAGAGCCTCCTTAACAATAGATGCTTCTCCATGAGTAGGTTTAAAGAATAGTAAACTATCATCTGTAAAAATAGATGAGATGTAAAACTTAGATGTAGAAACGTATTTTCCTACGTACTATATTAATTAGAAGGGATTATTTGTAATACTCCTCTATATTGGATCCATCCTATTAACTATAGGATTGTTTTAGAACAGCCGTTTGGGCGTATCTCAATTGCTAGAGAGGATATGTCACAGGGGGTAAATTTCGGATTCCATTCTAGACAACTATTTGCATAGGGTTTCTGCAAGTACTTGAGCCAGAATCCATTCGTTAATTATCGGTCTATGATTAAAACCTAATTCACATTCTTTGAGTTAACTCTCTAATTGTTTTAAAATGTTTGTAAGACATGCCTTCATTAACAATATAATAGACTATTGGAACCAATGGACGAGGGAAGTAACAATAGGCAATAGATGAACTCCATTTTATTTATTTTGGCCCACATGTTCAATAGACTATTTACATGTGTTTGACACCTCACCAGCAATACAATAACTATGTGCCAGTCTCACATGCGTACTCTACAAA